CTGAGTTCTCAGTGGCACGGGATTACCAACCCCAAACTTTTGAAAATCATGAGTCAGGACCCCCAAAACGATGCAACCGCCTTTTATGAGACATAAAAATAAAAATGATGATAAATGTTGAGTTCTTTTGAGTTGCTTTCTGGCTTCTCAGCCCTTTAGGCTGCACTTAGATCACCTTTTTATAGTTTTTCTCTGTAACCAAGAAACTTCCTTTGTTTAGGAAACAAAAGCCAAGAATCTCACCTCGTCACATGCTTCCAGGAGCTGGGGCTTTAACAAACACACCAAATATCAGGCAAAACCATGCTCTGAAGTGTCCCTAGCCTCTGTTTGCCAGAAGCTGGGAATGGGTGACAGGGGATGGATCACTTGATGATTGCCTGTTCTGTTCATTCCCTCTGGGGCACCTGGCATTGGCCACTGTCAGAAGACAGGATACTGGGCTAGATGGACTATCGGTCTGACCCAGTCTGGCCATTCTTATGTTCATGAGACTCATTATAAAATCATGAATGTTGGCAAAACGTTTGACACTGCGTCTCCTTTACACTGAGGCAGAGCTACCTTAGCGTATGTCAGAATCAGGCCTTTGAAACATTGATTCCAGCTTAGCCAAGTTTTTGGCCTGTGAATTGAATATCTCTAGACTCGGAAGGATGAGATTTTATTGGTAGATGTCAGTAACTGTTGATTTCACTGTACACAAACAAACCATGGAAAAATATTTCCATTGATAAGTGAAAATTTCAAATAGGCACAGTAAGAAAAACGTTGCGTGAGAACTTACTAGAGTTTGATTTAAGGAGATTTACTTAGTATATTTGGACATGTGATGCTGAGAATTTGTGTTTTAACAGTTATACTTTTAAACTTTTTGAATCTCTGTGTCTACTGTCATAAACTAATTATTGTCTGACTAAAATATTGTCTGAATGCCCCCCCCCAATTTCCCACAACTGTGCACAAGAATATTGATAAAAACTGAAACTTTGAAAGTTTAAATAGATAAATACAAAAAAATCTTACAAATAAATATTAATCTTATCTGTCAAAAATACATATTAAATCGAATGAATTCTGCCAAGCCTAAATATCACTCTTTAGACATGCAGTTCTGTCAGCTCATCAGGACAAAGGGAAGCTGGTGTCCATGTGAATCCCCAGTGACCCCCCACACCAGCAGAGGGGGCTGATTGCAGGATCGGAGCCTTATTGGGACATTTCTCACCAAAGCCTCCAGGGCTGGAACATTAGGGGTGATCTGTCTCCACCTCAGCAAACAGCCTGAGTCAGTTCCAGGAAGGGAAAAACCCAATTGCTGCTGCTGCAGGTGGGACATATCTCTGAGCTCAGAAAAGTGAGACTAACCCTGTTACACTGTCCAGGGGGAGCCATGGCCACAGACAACCCCGTGGAAAGTCTCCAGGAGGAAGCTACATGCCCCATCTGTCTGGAGTATTTTAAGGACCTGGTGATTATAGACTGTGGGCACAATTTCTGCCGAGCCTGCATCGCCCAGTGCTGGGAGGGATCGAATACAGACGTCTCCTGCCCTCAGTGCAGAGAAACTGTGCAACAGGGAAACCTCAGGCCGAACAGGCAGCTGGCAAATGTTGTAGAAATAGCCAAACGGTTGAGTTTACAGGCAGCAAAGGGAGCAGGAGGGGACGGGGTGTGTGGGGAACACCAGGAGGCTCTGAAACTGTTCTGTGAAGAGGATCAAACTTCTGTCTGTTTGGTTTGCCATCTGTCCCGGGATCACAGAGATCACAGGGTGGTTCCCATAAAGGAGGCTGCCCAGGAGTACAAGGTAGGGAATTGCTGGCAAGTTTAATGGGTAATAGCCTGTAATTAAAATCCAAAGTTGATTTCACTGAAATTTGCCTGTCACAGGTGTGATGCATCATTCAGGTCTGTAAAGCCTTCATTGTACGGGAGATGCTATAACAAAATTAATGATCTGGCTGTGTGGCGACAGAATCAGGATATCAAGTCTTAAAAGATATCTGCTGTGGGAAACTTTTCTCTGAGATTCTGAATGTTTTTCAAACCCAGCTTCCACTGCTGAAATAAGGGGACTATTTACACAATGGCCGGTGTTAACAATCAGTGAGGTTTAAATCACAAGAGCAGCAGGCCAGTCTATGGGAGTGGGTTACCTTCAGACTGGAGAACTGATCCTTTAAATATCAACACCGTTAATTATTTTGTTCCCCATGTGAGAGTGGAGAGGGAGAATTACAGCTCGGCACCGTTTATTGCCAGGGACGCCTCCTTCCAGTGCCACATGCGGGTGATGTTTTCCCCTGTTATTTTCCCCCCAGTAAAGAAGGACCAGGCCCAGAGAGCTCAGCAGAGCCCCGGGGTATATTCTAGCCCCATGAGGGAAGTCTGGCCCCAGGAGCCTCTTGGAGCCAATCAACAACTCCATCCTCTTTTGAACAATGCACAATTTGAACAGATCCTGGTGTCTCCTTTTGGTGACTCACATGGGTGGGGCTTATTTTGTGGGTGGAGCTTCAAAGAATCCAGCAATATTTGTTCCCCCCCCCCCCCCCACCCGATCCCTGCTCATTTACGAAGCTTTTTTGCTGGATGCAAAGGCTGCTTTTCCGCCTCCTGTCTCTCACTAGCCCCTGCTGGCTCCTCCCTCCCTCCCTCCCTCCCCTGCTTCCCTGCAGCACCGCAGGGGTGTGAGTTGAGCAGCTGCCCAGGAGCTCTCAGCAACAGCCTGGGCCCTTGGGCAGAGAGGGGGAGAGCACTCGAGAACTCAGAGAAAAGAGAGAGTGAAATGGGGAGATCTCAGGTGGGGGCTCTGGGGGGCTGCCAGGGGTGTTGCACAGAGCGGGGTTGATGGGGCAGGAGCACGTTGCTGTGCTGTGTGAAGGAATCACACGCTGTCAAAGGGGAAGAGAGCCCTGGGGTATTACAGCTCTGGAGCAGTTATAATTATGGGTGGCACATTTCCCCCAGACCAAGTGTGTTCCCTGTTCCTCCTCACTGACGTCCAGCCACATCACAGCTTCACTCTGTAGTGGCATAGCCAGGTTCTAACATCAGGGGGAATGAACACATAAAAAAAGGTGCCACCCGACATATCAAATTACTAATTACATACTTTTAAATTCGTTATGTATATTCATTTGTACTTAAAATAAAAACACAAGAATGATCCAGCCACGGAAGGGTTTGCACAGCCGGCATTTCACAGGAGAACTTCAGATTATTCTTAGATATACTTTAGATTCCAGAAAGTAAATCACAGAATACAGTCGTTTGTAATTGTCACTCCTCGCCCCCGGAGCAGAGCGGTGTCTCGGCGGCAGCAGAGTCATTCCCCGGGCTGCCATGGCTCGCGGAGAAAAGATGCCGGTGAAGAGAGACC